TGCTCATGTTCTGCGAACCTGTCTGGTCCTCCGTCAAAGTTTGGAATCCACCTGCTGCTCTGTGACTCCTGGTCTGCTTCAGCGTATCCCTCTCTGCACGCATCCTGCCTGCTCCACCTCCACCTCTGCTCCTCCTCTGCTGCTCCACCTCCACCTCTGCTCCTCCTCCTCTGCTCCTCCACCACCTCTGCTCCTCCACCTCTGATCTTCCACCACCACCTCTCCTCTACCTAAATGTTAGTTTATTAGTTGCTCTCCTGATCTGGTTGTTCCAGTCCCATCTCGCTAGTCTGTGATTTGTTGTGTTCATTGACCTTTTGGCTAAAGCTATTTTAGCGTGTAGTTATTCCGCATCGCCCCTAGAGGTCCTCGTAGCTCTAGATCTATTAACCTTTGACCTGAGTTTCTGTTCCTGTATACTTTGGAGAATCATTGTGTTTGTAAATGGTGACCATAGTATGTGGTTCTGTAAATATATCTTTATTATAATTAAATGTTTGTTGGAATGTTTGGTTGTCAAGTCCGTGTCTGCATCTGAGTCTCAGGACCCGAACCATGACACAGGTAGCGTATTGTCAGTAGTTACCTCGCCTTACGTGACCCTCCCATTGTACGAGTTCACTGTCTAACAGCTGCCCGATGGCAGTGAGCTGCACAGGAATCAATAATCAGGGCTTCTGTTGAATGACTTCACATAGCCACTGAGTCTCTCATAAACTCCCCTCCAAATTCTGTTACTCTGTGATGATGAAGAGTGATACTGAATCCAATTAAAGGCTTCGTGTTACCTGGAAGCGGTAGAGGCTGGTGTCGTTGCACATGACCAGCTTCTTGTGGTTCTGCAGAGGGTAGATGTAGCCGTAAGCCACCAACATGGTGCCAAAGGCCTGAGCCTCTGGAACACAGACAAGATGAAGAAGTGACACAGGAAACAGGATGTTGTTTCTTCTCTGTCACGCCTTCAGTAACTGGCATCGTGTTTTCGTAGTGTATAAATTATACCTTCTGGAGTGGTCTTCATCTTGTTGGCAATCCATGCAATGATGTCGCTTCCTGTGTGGAAACAGAAGAACTGAGCTGTAAGAAAATAATTTTGTGTCTTATCTTCTGAGAGTGCTCCTTCATCTCGTCTGTTTCCTTCTCAGCTTCAACACAAAATGAAACTTATTCAGAGTTGAGGTTACTTGTCACTCAATCTGTTACCTAAGTAAACCTTTTTCCAATGAGTTTTTGGTCTCCATGTATAGTTTTAAGCCCATTTTGTGAGTTCGGGCCTCTTTTAGGGTAAAACAGACAACAAAGGAGGGTATGTTTTACCTTGTGATTGACAGGTGGCTACTGTATTAGCGTGAGCGTCCTCAAGGTCTCAGTAAGATCCACTTCTTACTCTCGAAACCCATTTTTAAAAGATGGCTATGGCCAAATGCAGACTTGAGTCTTCAGAACAGTAGTCCACAAACCAACAGATAACATCACGTGTACAAACTCCTTCTTTTATAGACAGTAAAGTCAAGATATGAAAGTGGAAATCAAAGAAAACAGGTTTTGAGTGTTTACTGTTACCGCTGGGATGTTCAGGAAGATGTACAAGCAATGTTTCTTTAACTTCTGTCATTTTGGTTCAGTTTTCCTAATGGGCCAGTCATGTACTTCCAAGAGTTTGTATTTAAGTGGTCATCGTTACATCTGTCAGTTGTAGAAGGATGGAGGACAAATAACCAGCAGCCAGGAGACATGAACACAGCGTAATAACCAGAAGTCTCTCCACACAGAGTGAACCACCCTGTTTGGCCTCTGCTTTAACCAGTTGTTGTGAAAACTGGACATGTTTATAGTCAGTTCACATAGGCTTGGATCCTCCAACTGGCATTGCCCTCATAGGTCTTAGACCAGATTAAAAGGCCACTTTGGCTCCTAAAGCAACGTCCAAATCTTATCCAATTGTAGGCTGCCTTTTTTTAGCCACTGTTAGCAGCTTAGGCAGCAGGGCAGCCTGTCAGTGTCTTCACACAGCCTGTGCTTCAGGTAATGCAAGTGAACTTCTACAGATTGGATGCTCAGTGGTAAATACACTGTCACCGTTGTACTTCAGTCTAAGTGGCAAACAGATTGATCTGGATGTAAAATGAAACATTAATGAACAGGACATACGAGATCCTCAACAATTAAAGGCTTTGTAGGTAATCGCTTAGGTTCAGGGTCAGGGCCATTGAACCAAAACTGAAGATTAATATGTCTTTTCTTTTTATTACTGTACAGTTCTGTGTCATTTTTGTGTTTTTTTTATTCAGTGGGGACATAACTCTTATAGAAAATAATACTCATCAAATCACTATATATCAGCAGTCAACATCGATGGAAAGAAAGCACCACCTCAGAAATCTGTGGGAAAATCTACACAGTATATTTACATATCCTGCATATTCATATTGGTGAAAGGGATGTTTGTGGCTCTTTAGATGCTACATAGTCTAATATTTCCCCCAGCATCTAAATGTGTCTGCTGACTGCTGAGGAGCAGGTAGTGTTCTTTGGACATATCAGAACCTTTTCCCTTAAAACAGCTGCGTGCTTCTTCTAAAGGCCAATTAATGATAGTTTCTCTGGATTTGTCTAAATTGTCAGTTACAATACAGTGCAAAGTTAACTCTGTGTGTGTGTGTGTGTGTTTGTTTGTTTGTCTCACCAGCGAGAACATGTGGGATCGTAGTGACGTTGAGTTTCTGCTCTGAGCCTTTAACTCCACCTTTCTGGTCCTGCATCTCCACCACAATGGCCTCCACCTGGAAACAGACAGACAGCAATAAATAAAAAAAACAATAATGAGGACACTAGGATTCTTTCCAACAGTGGGATGTGTACAGCAGGGACATTTTAAAAGTGTGTATGGTGCTATAGACAATGTGACCTCTTCAATCAATCAACTAATTTCCAAAATGTGGTGTCAGGAAACCAAGTCACAATGAAACACATCTGATTATTCCATAATAGTTACACATGGACAGATCTTTCAGTGTTGAAATCACAAATGTTCCACAGAAAATCCACTAATAACCAAATCTGAAGCAGCTGCCATCTGTTTTTTAACCCTAGATTGTGAAAGTAGTTCACTGTCTGTGAGGCTGTTTTAGGACTGCTGCTCTGATTAGTGGTACTATGGATCCTTCTCTAC